AAGAGGGAACTTGGTAAGTTTCTCCTGGCAGGTCGTGCTCAGCCTGTTGATGCTGCTGGTAGCAATAGACTGACTGATCAGAGGGCTGATCCGAGACAGGGCTGCACGGAAGATCACCCTGGAAACTATCAGCGGGTAAGTTAAAGGATCTAAACAGTGTTTTTTAGACATTGACACAAGGGAAGTAAGAGAAATATGTCTTCATTTAACTAATATTATACAGTTATTAGTGACCCACTGGAAGACTTGGTTTATGTCATTTTGGAGATTTACGTTTTCAAACGATGCCACTCGCACAGGTTACAGTATCATCTGCACAAGATGATACAGTGCTACGATTTATGTCTGTTAGATATGAAAATGAGAGAGAATGGGGCGAGTACTGTGTCTTGAGGAAGAGAACATTCCACTGTGGCAGCTTCTGAGTTTACTTTGTTGACCATTACTCTGTGCTTAGTTTGTCACAAAGTTAAAAAAAAAAAAAACTTTTCCGTTTATTCCATTTGGACACATTTTCTGTTATTCACCATGGTCGTGCATAATTATCGAAGTCTTTTTATGAAGTCTGTGTATACTATATCATAATTATATTGCTCCAGAGCATACATTGCCATGTAATTGTCCAGCAAATACGAGTGGCAAGAGCGATCTGCTCTAAATCCTTGTTGCCCTGGATTGTTGTGGATTATTGTGTCTAACAATCCTTCCTGAAACTCCCTCAAAGATTGATATGACATCACTGCAATCGATCTAAGATTTTTTTTTCTGCTGTTGCTGTACTGCCGCCTCTACAAAGCGGGCATTATCACAGAGTTTTATGTCGTTATAGGGGGAACAAGACGGATAGTAACAGAATGTGTAACATAGGAGGGAGGGAGGGGAGGGTGGGTGTTCTACAAGCATACAGGAAATTAAGATTCCAGGACGTTAAAACATATATTACATCACCCTGAAGGTAGTAAGCAAGTGGAATAAGATGCATGAAGTGGTGGAAGCAAACTCCATAGCTTCAGGATATTTTTGAGGCCAAAAATTGAGACTCGACCCCTGGTAACACAGCAGTGAGTGCACAGAGCGTCATAGCACAGATGTGGACTAGAGGATACATGTGTTGTGCCCGAGGAGATGGTGGTGGCAGCTGCGTGCTTGGGGCGGTGGTGGTGGTAGAAGAGTGGGAGGTACTGGTGCACGCTTATATGAACCTGGGCAGCAGCATCCTGCTTCACCCCCACCACGGCGGCGGCCGCGGAGGTTCTGCCTAGTATGAAGTTGTGGAGGCGACCTTCTTGCTACGTGTCTGGAAAAAGAAAGATAGTCCCACGGTTTGTGGGGGTGACAGTCCCACGGTGTGTAGGGGTGATAGTCCCACGGTGTGTCGGGGTGACAGTCCCACGGTGTGTGGGGGAGACAGTCCCATTGTGGGGGTAGAGGGGCTGTCTAAGTCACGGGGGATAAAATTAATTAATTCAGAGACAACTCGCTCAGAAATGTTCAAGAAATGTCAAAGTATTTTATCCACAGTAGTATACATATAACAAACAGTTTAGGAAAAATACCATGACTGCTCATTGTAAATAAAGCGTTACCACTTTTTTAGCGTGTGTGTGTAACTTTAATTCATGTTTTCATATGTAACTCATTACGATTGTGACCATATATAAAGATATAAATAGTACATTACCACTAATTTGTTCAGCTTTCAAAACTTCGGGGTTCAGTCCTTGGACCCAGTATGTGCCTCTGTAATCTTTGGACTACTTCCCACAGGATGGGTATGATGTGCATAAAAATATTAAACTATTAAATCAGGTGTTCCTAACCAGAGTTGCGACAGCGAGTCAATTAGTTTACCGGCAGTACTGTATTTGGTTCAGTTTGTGATTAAAAAATTTGAAATTTGGCTTCATCTTCAAATGTGATACTACGTTTGTAGGAGGCGCAACATTAATCAAACATTTCCTAGTGGTGCGGGGAACAGAAAAGGTTAGGGACCCCCCCCCCCCCTCTGTCAAACTTTTCCTCGTCACCTTACATTATCAAGCAGTGTGGGTAGAGGGGGACCAATACACACAATAAATGATAAACTTTATTCCTACAAAGAATTGGTTACTATATATTATTAAGATTATAGAAAGCCACTGGTATTTACCTAGTGTGTTAGAGAAGAAATTATAATTGAGACAACATTGTGCTCAGTGTAGAGCTGTTGCTACTGGCGGCTCGCTTGTCTACATATCCGCCACAGCCTGGTTGATCTGGCACCTAGTGAACATACTTGTCAAATTTCCTCCTGAAGATTTCCTTCCACACATGTTCCAACAGTGTTGCCGATATCTTCTGGTAAGATGTTGAATGGTCTTGGGCCACGGATGTTGATGCAATGTTTCCTTATTGTGCCTACGGCATCCCTGCTTTTCACTGGTTTATTTCGCATTTCGTCCCATCTCTCTCAATCCAGCATGTTCTTATGGCAGTGTTCAGATTTGGGACTATTCCCTAAAGTACTTTCCACGTATAAATTATCACGCATCTCATCCGCTCTAGCGATTATATATTTGAGGCATTCCCAGTAATTTAAAATGCTGCACTGGATACGTATGGACCTTCAGTAGGGGGAGAAGGGGAGGGGTAAAAAAAATAGTATACTTCTCCATATAGGTCGATGGTGAATATTGTGGGTGGGGGTATGGGGGTGTAGATAACATAAGATCGTCTTTAGGGTGACAGGAACTTGCTGATCGTCAGAAATTGCAGATAATACTGTTATTGCCCTTAGTGATACGAACCCGAGAGGGGTGTCAGTATGCTCGATGTATCCTGAGGTGTTTGGGTACTCGTTGTATCATGTATTTACCTAGTGTAAGTGATCTTAATGACAGGTGCTCTTTTTTTTTGTGCCGTGTTCTACAGGAGTTAGTGTTTGCCTCATTCATGTAATGGAATAAATAGCAAAATAATAGTAACCTAAGTTAGCTGATATAAACACCGATGGAGACACTAGGAAGTTTCAGGATAATTTTGATTGGTTGAGAGTGTGCACGAAGACGTGGCAGATGCAGTTCAAGGTTGTTTTCTTTACTGTGGAAAAACAACCTTGGCGAATGTAAACTAAATAATATATACATCTGTTGTGACTTTAATAAATACACCAAAGAGGATGCGAAAAAATGTGAAGTCAGTGTACCTGTGTGGTTTTCGCATTATAAATCTAATGGAGACAGATGGCTTGCTTTCATATCTAGAAATATAAATAATAAGTCTTGACGTTATACTCGAGTCCCTATTAGTAAAGCCTCATTTAAATTATGCGGCGCAGTTTTTAAGTTCCACGTTGCGGAATGAACATAAATGATTCACATATGAGATAAATGGAACGTCTGATTAGTAGAGGAACTTTCACAACAAAAACTGCTCTGTAAAACTTTCAGAGAATAAGAGCATTATCAGACCGAAACGTCGTCTTAAGCTCCTCTCTTCTGTGTGCGGGTTATTTGTGTATTGTTCCAGTCACGGTATTGTGCCTCTTTTTGTTAAGAGAATTATCATCTATCAGTGGGTTTTCATGTGAATATGGAATAAAAACTTGTAATCTAAAATGACGTATAGAGAAAGAATAGAAATGAAGTGTACAAGTGAATTTTTGGGATTTTTTTTTATATTTTATTTAAAACAATACAATACATTAAATAAATAAGAGAACACAGTATCAGTTCTTCCACAGAAATTATAAATTTTCACTGTCGAAATGCACCGGACGTTTAACTTTGTGCTGACACACACTCTCCCTCATCCCCTGTGCATTATATCCCTTTACACCTATGTTAAATACAAGATTACACAATATTATACATTACATCAACCAAAATACTTACAATATGCTTTATTATTATTATAACCAAAGAATCGCTAAACCAACAATATGCATTAATTTTTCACTTTTTTTTATGGTATTAAGACCTTCATACAGACATTGTACATAAACAGGTACATATATAACAAAGGACCAAACACGAACTGTAAATAATGGTTCCAGTACTCAATCTACTGGGTTAGTACACTGAGATATCATGACAGTACAACACTGTCTATAACTTATACAACCGACACTCGCCCACACCTGTGAGTAATTATAATAATAATACAAAACAAAATTACAGTACCTCCTCAAAAAGTATTCTTTCACTGTTACCTGATTATACAAATAAACCCCGTTCTTCTGACCTTTAATATATACACGACACACGAACACACACCTCACGATTATGGCATTGACCCCTCATACATTGAATATTATACAACATACTGAATTATTCTTCACATTTGATTACAAGGGTAATATGTGTACTGACGCGTTGCCATTACTATTTTTTTTGGGGGGGGGGAATTAAGGGGTAATGAGTAGGCCTCTGAAAATGTCTTAACAAACTCGCAGAATTTCAGATTTAGAGGAAATTCATATTAAAAAAAAAATGGAATATATTGATCTGGCACTATTGTTGTAGATAAGCGGAACAAAACGTCCAACTGGGGTCACTTAACCCATATTTAGGTAACGTTAAAACTAGCTAAATTACGCCGCAAGTACCCACTTCGCATAGACAGTAGCCTACCATACCGCTAGTCTCTTTCCGTTTCATAAAAATCATGGACCCTGGGACTAATACACATGACTAGTGGATGAGAACATTATTTGTGTATTACTAACAAACGAACTCTTTAATTACACATTATTACATACGCAATAATTGTTAATGGTGGTTTAAAGCCAATCAACTACATTAGTGTCATTAGGCTGCATCGCCAAACTCACCATATATACACTAAGGGAAATATACATCTCGGTGTATATACATATAATACACAGCCTTATGTACTTAAAAATGAATAACTTATCTGTGTGCGAATATAAATATTTTGCTAGAATGACATTAAAACATATATACCAATATGCACACGAAATTCTATGTAAAATATTTTAAAAATATTTTTTCTGATTGCAGGAGGCAAGTATGAATCAAGAGGTGAGTAAGGAACAAACAATGAGGCAGCTGAGTTAATGGTGAACTGACCTTTAGATGTGTGTATACGCTGAGGGGAAACTGTCAGGATGGCCACAGTTTTGCAGCGTTTGCTGATCCAGGTGTCATGAACCTTGTCAGGTTTGTGGCGACTGGAGACTCTGGCAAGCTGAAGACTCTGGTTACAAAGATGCGACTGCAGTCAAGACCGTTAATTATACGACGTTTCGCCCAAAATTGGGCTCTTTTTTCTTTTTATTGCTCGAAAAAGCCTAATGTTGGGAGAAACGTTGTAAAGTAAAATGTTTTCACTACAGTCGTGTCTGTGTTGCGTTTTTTGATGTGTTGAACGTTTAGTTTCAGATGTTTTAAAAAAAATGGTCTATTTTAAATTAGGTAAATTTAATTTAGGCTAGGGCACGGTAGGTTTGGTTACATAATATATAACAACGTATGTTTAACCACAAATATGCAAATTACCAAAAAAAAAAAAAAAAAAAAGCCGCAGTGTCTTGGCAACGAAGTGGCCGAAGAGAATGGGGGGGGGGGGGACGTTTGAAGGTGACATTCAGATCTGAACGTTTTATCACTGGTGGTACAAGAATGGGTCGCCTCCGGGTATTGGCTTAAGAAATCCGGCAAGTATATTTTAGCTTAAACAACTAAGAATATTTCCACGGTCAACAGAACTGGATCTCCTCACCTGGACACTTAGATACTAGGCTGGGTGTTTATCTAGTTGTACTTGCCTAGTTCTTCTCACCTACTCTCCCAGTTATGTTTTCAGGATAGTCATAGCTCCTGGCCCCGCCTCCTATCTCCTGAAACTGTGTATTGTCTCCACATCATCCTTTAAGCGATGGAAGACAAGCATAATACGGATGTAGTGTCTGCCTTGCAAAAGCCTTCGACAATTGCGGCCATGGTATAATAGCGCACAAAATACCTACAAAAGGAATAATTGGAAAGGTGGATTGACGGATATATAATTTCTTGACAATTGAACCCAAAGTTCAACAGTAAACGTTGATATCAGAGAGACTTGCAGGGAAACGTTCTGTTCAAGTTTTGTTCCCCGAGGTACAGTACTCTCTCCACTTCTATTCACAGATAATCCACACACTTAGGAGACTTGAAACTTATGACAACGTTAATGGTCCAAGTCTGACCGAAACGTCGTCATAAGTTTGTCTCCTACATGCGGTTATTTGTGTATTGTTCCAGCCACGGCATTGTGCCTATTTATGCGTTCTCTCTCCCATTCTTGTATCTGCGTAGGAACATAAATCATAGCACCATGTCGTCCTTGCAGACGATACTAGAAGCTGTACAAAAGTGTCATCCAGTGAGGACACAGCAAACCTAGAAACTGATAAAAACTGTTTTCCAGTGGCGCTGACAACACTATGATCAGCGAGGACAGATTTCAGTTCTTCCGCCGTGGAGAAGCTGAGAAATTAAAGATTGGATCAAAGAATATGACAAACGTAGATCGGGAGACTTGGGAGTGATAATATCAGTGGATATCTTTCAACCCTAACAATGTTATCACAGCTGCGAGGTAGTTCTACCAAAATATATACAGGAAAATGATAGGCAGGATAACTAGAATATTCAAAACAGAGAGATGATGGCCCCATAATGATAGTCTTCATATCATTTGTTCACTCCAAGCTGTGTGCTAACGGCCTCTTTACGGCAGGCGAAACTGCTGAACTGGAGATCGTAGAGATCCTTCACAGCTCTTCAATTTAGTCAAATAATTACTGGGAAAGCTCAAGGTTCTTCCAACTGTACTCCTTGAAGTGTAAACGAGAAAGCTGTATCATAATCTACACCTGGAAAATTCTGAGAGAATTAGTTCCAAATATGCACACCGAAATCACTCCTTATGAAAGTACGTCTCGGTATACTGTGCAAAATACCTTCAATGAAAAACAAGGGCGAGATGAATATAGTAAAGTCAATAAGCGCAATGGGTCCAGGACTCGACACCTTCCCTCCATGCATCAGGGAAACTACCAACAGATCCGTGGCTGTCTCCAAGAGGAAACTTTGTCAATTCCTGATCAGCCGGACTGTTGTGCATATGTTGGTCTGTATACGGTAGGCACCTAACATCCTGGTCGATCAGGCCAGGAGGCCTGGTCTGGAGACCGGCCTCGGGGGGGCAGTAATCCTCCCTGATTCGACTACAGATGAACTCTTTATATACTGTTTTCCATTACCACCCTAAGACTGCAAAAAAAAAAAAAAAGAAGTTTTTCAAACGTTCTTATGGCTTATTTGCGTCCTTTGCAAATAAGCTTGAGGAAGCTGTCTATTCCCGTCCTCTCTACAAGGTTGTTACTCTTCCTAGTAAGTACTTTCATTTGTTTTTGTAAGCGCATTGATTTTTTTAATATATTAATAATATATTGATATATTAATATGTTTGTGTAAGCGTTGTCTCTGTGCCGAACCACCGTAATCAAGGTGGAGACTCGAGCGCTATTTTTAAAGGCTGAATAAGTGCGTACTTGTCCAACGACACAGATATATATTTAATAACTCATAGAAGTTGGTTGACTGTTTTTCCTGCTGCTGCTCTGGCTTGCTGCGCTGCTTCAAATAATTGGTGGATTATTACTCCAAGGTTCTTTTCTTTATTAGTTGGTAGCAAGGTAGAGTTGTCGGTATGGTAACTTATAATGTTGCGTTGTTGGTAGTAAGATCATTTTTTTTTCATTACGGAGACTGGGTTGCAAGTATCCAGGTGGTATTATCAGTAGAATGACTATGGTGTATTACGTTGATGTATCTTACAAACTGAGTTTTGTATTTCCTTATTCTGAATAGAATGTGCCATTCTATTTGCAATTTGTGAAGTTCTTGAACATTCTGTATAGATGGAAAATTCTCTCTGTTTCCACTTCCTTCAAATTTTATTATCCTCGGCAAATAGATTTATGGTTAGAAGTGTATTCGTCTTAAAGTCAGGTCTCCTCTGCGATTTTTGTAAATGCTATTGAAAAAGTGTGTGCAAAAATTGATTAACACGTATTATGAAGGTCTCTCGACGTGTTATTTAATTCTTCATGTACTTTTACAGTCGCATCTACGAAAAATTGCACTATGTGGAGAAGCTTTGTAAAAAGGTTGACTGTATATATTACAAGGTGGGTACACACACGCGTCTCTTTCCTTCCTTGTTTCTTAAAGTGTCGGTGTTTATAAACAACTCGATATCTAGGTTGTTTTTGTCGGCTGAATTTCTTCCATCTACAGGCAGGTTTGTTGTGATGGTTACCTTCGTATGTTTTATTTATTGTCTTTTATTAATTTCCTTCCAGATGTTACGTCGTCTTCAGCCTCCTCTCTCTGAGTCCTGTCTAAATTATTTTACTGTTAAGGGGTAAGACGAATGCTACTTCCTCTGTATTCCACTGAAGAAGTCTACTTTGAAGGCGAAACGTTTCGGAATAAAGATACCTGTTTCACATGTGTCTTATCAACTTGTCTGTAATTTACACATCATTGTTATATTCATGATAACATTAATACTGGAGAATATCTGACCTTTATCCAAGTTCTCTTGCAACTTCTTAACGTCATTCATGTTATAACCTTTACATTATCTACAAACATTTAGGCAGATTATTTATAATTATTAGTAACAGTATGGGACCAAAGACTGACCCTTCAGGAACTCAAGTTGCTGTTTTAATATTATTATTGGTTTTATTGTGATCGTTACTTGTTCTTTACATATAAGAATGCTTGTATCTTTTGAGGTCATGACTGCATGTTTCTGTCACTGAGCACGAGGATGATTGTACAGTCTCTGGTGTTGTTATGACTAATTACTTAAGACAGAGGCTGGAGTGTTCAGGACACTTCACACAGTTGTGTCTTGTGTTAGGAATCTGAGAGCTACTGGCAAATTGAATATTTAATCAATGAAAGAAAGTGAAAAACACCGGTAAAAATAAGTCACTCTGGCCTTTTTTTTTGGGGGGGGGGGTTATCCTAGGTAATTTACAGTATGTATAAGTGTACTTATATGTACTTGTGTCTGAATAAACTTACTTAATATTGACTTTATTTGTTCAGACAGTCAGTCATTAATGTTGAAATTAATAATGTAGGATAAACATTGTATGGATGATGACATTGTTGCGAGACTCTCACTTGTTTACCAACATGGTCGTGACGCTCACTCTGGATCACATTTTAAATTTGCCTTCGGCTTAGGTCTTTCTACATTCGTCATGGTTTTTATAATTACCGAGGTGCCTGTGGCGACCTCGGGGAACCTTTAAGGGAGTATTGACATTAATGGTGTCATTATGTGTACTAGTGTGACTGCAAGTGTGTGCGCTAGTATCACTAGTGCGCCAGTATGAGTTGTGTGTAAATGAGAATGCAGCTACGAGCCTGGCTCATGGCCGGGCTCCGAGAGTAGAGAGTCTCGAACTTGGTTCTTGAAGTACTGATTGAGACGTAAATCCTCATTACCGGAAAACAGCATTTCTCCAAGATAATTAAATATAGACGCTAAACCTATAACGTGGAATAAGTGTAAGTGGTAAGTGTAAGTGATAAGTGTAAGTGATAAGTGTAAGTGATAAGTGTAAGTGATAAGTGTGAATAAACTGCGACTAGAACAAAAAATCACAAGCTTCAGTCTTTTATCGTGTCCGTAAAATGCTACTTGAATTACCTTGAGGTTTTGAAAGTATATTTTTTTAAGAAAGGGAATTAATTAGATGTTGTGAAAGGTGTTGTGTGTTGCTGTAACTGTGTTGCAAGTGAGCCAAGGCCTGTGTGTGTTGTGTGTGTGTGTGTGTGTGTTGTGTGTGTGTGTGGGGTGTGTGTGTGTGTGGTGTGTGTGTGTGTGTTATTGTGTGTGTTGTGTTTGTGTGTGTTTTGTGTGTATGTGTGTTTTGTGTGTGTGTGTGTTTTGTGTGTGTTTTGTGTGTGTGGTGTGTGTGTGTTTTTTGTGTTTTGTGTGTGTATGTGTG